GTTTTAGTTCTGCAACTTTTCTTTGAATATGCTCCTTCCACTTTAACTTTGCATCCAGCGTCAAACCAAGATATTTCGCTGAGGTGGAGTACAGAATTACTTCATTCCCAATATATAAGGGTATACACGTATCAGTTTTGTTAGTGAAGTTTATATGTATAGACTTCAACTCGTTGAGAGTAATATTCCATTTTTCTGTCCATTCTACAATTAGGTTGATTGAAGACTGCATTCTGTTCGACGACTCTACTACATTTTTACCAGTAGTAATGATGCAGGTATCATCTGCAAATGTGGCGATTGTGCTGTTTGGCGGCATAGGCATATCACTAGTGAAGAAAATGTATAAGAGTGGTCCCAGGACGCTTCCTTGGAGTACACCTGTTTTTATTGGCTGTAACATAGTATATAATTGTCCCTGCTTGATTCTGAAGTAGCGGTTGCTCAGGTARGAGGCAAGTAGCTCAGTTAAATGCCGTGGGAAGAGAAGTCTTAATTTATGAAGCAAGCCATGGTGCCATACTCTATCAAACGCCTGAGATACATCAAGAAAAACAGCTGTGCAAATTTGCTTTTTTTTTCATCGCATCCTCAATTATATCTGTTATTCGATGAAGTTGATCGATTGTAGAATGTTGCGATCTAAATCCAAATTGATGAATTGGTATAAGGTCCTTTTCTTTATATATATATAGATATGATATAGTTGTCCGAGCTGATCTAAAAAACTTCTCCAGATATTTTAGAGCTGTCTTGGTAAATAATAGCTGGCAAATCCGCGAATATAACTCCTCAAATAAAAGTTTTTTGTATACAAGCACATCATTTTGATCCTTGAGTTTGTATGACAGCTATATGCCGTAGTGGTCCGATCTGAACAATTTCTTCCGAGATTATACTCAGACCTCAAATAAAAAAATAAAAAAATAAAAAAAATAAAAAAAAAAAATTTAAATAAAAGTCATACCAAATTTCTTGAAAATCTATTGTCAAATAATATAGTTTTCAATACAAGAACTTGATTTCGATAGTTCAGTTTGTATGACAGCTATATGCCGTAGTGGTCCGATCTGAACAATTTCTTCCGAGATTATACTCAGACCTCAAATAAAAAAATAAAAAAATAAAAAAAATAAAAAAAAAAAATTTAAATAAAAGTCATACCAAATTTCTTGAAAATCTATTGTCAAATAATATAGTTTTCAATACAAGAACTTGATTTCGATAGTTCAGTTTGTATGACAGCTATATGCAATAGTATTCCAATATCGCTCGTTCCAACAAATTGAGCAGCTTCTTAGTGAATTTCAGAACGACATTTCAAAAACTGAGTGACTAATTGCATATGTATATACAGTCAGAAGAAGCGACTCAGCTTGGCAAACATAAAGTACTTTTCTCCGGGTGTAATAGTAATGACAATCCACAAAGTTGTGGTACCATTATCCAGAAGAGTATATTTGGAGAAAGCTGCGCCCAAATTGTCTATGTTTCTGCTTTGAAAAATATTTTTGTTTTGCAACAAATCTTTGAGAATCGTTTTATTTGTAAACAGTGTATTCACAGTGACTCAAAAACACTTAAAAAAAAGAATGCTTACAAACATGCAGGTTTAATGTTAAAAAAAAAAATCTCAATTTATTATTCCCAGTAGAATTGATAAATATTGGCAATCAAAAATTTATAAAGAGGAACTTAAATCTGACTATAGATTACGAGTACATACATATTACATACATATGTCATATGCTATTTGCTAAACCCAAAAACAAAATGTTTAAGCTAAGACAGCTTTGGCGGTTGTTGCTACATCAACACTAATATCACCCGCGATCGGTGCCATGGTGGTGGTCGGTGGCGCAGGCGGCGCTGGAAAGCAAATTGTTTTCTGTACTACAACAACAGTATCCGGTTTCGTTGGATCGGTTTCATTGAAGCTCCATGGCATACAGATAATGCCATTGTTGGGCGGTGTTTCTGGCGGTGGCGCTGTGGCTGTTGGAAGCTCGAATGTTGCATTACCGGCTGTGGTAAGCGTCTGAGCGCTAACGATGGGAGGACTTTTAAATATGGGCTCGGAAGTCGTAACGCCATTTGGGATCAGTGTGTTATTGAGCGGTGCCAGCGATATTTCGGAGTCAGTGGGCCAATAGTGCGGCTGCTCTGTGGAATGGCCTACAACTGATGGATTCATGTTGTTGACCAGAATAACTTTTGATGATTCTGTCTGATTATTGGGCTGTGCTTGTGGTTGTGGTTGTTGTTCATAATGGTGGTGGTGGTGACGATGACGTGTCATACTTCGGCCAACAAGATAGCCCAAAGCAAAATCTGTTGAATCTATGACAAATATTGGAAAGTTTCCAAAATAAGAAAGTAAAAGTATTTCCTCAGCTAATTACCATCATTATTGGTGTGCCTTGGTGGCTGTGCATAGTACACGGCATTGACTGGAATGCTAGACGGTTGCGTAACGTAGACATGACCAGCTGGCAATTGGTGGCCACCCCAGTTGTGGGATATATGTGGATTGGCAGCGTGGGTGTTGTGATGTGAAACTCCCGAACCTAAGCCATACCAGTTGTGGGTATTATGCCGACCCTCTGTGCCTAAAATGCTATGACTGTTGTGACTAACGTGTGAATTTCTGTGCGTCGAACTTTTGTGGCTGTTGGAGCTACTGTGGCTGTTGGAGCTGCTGTGGCTGCTCGTACTTTTGTGATGTTTATTACGGTGTCGTGATCGATGTTTTGCAAACTTCTCATCCACGCCTTCTGCTGCGAACATTGAGTTCGTGTAGGAGGTGTGCACTGGTGAGCCGCTGATAATTTTCCGTCGTGAGCTAGCATTACCTGAGGAGGCATGCTTTTTGTGCGAGCGTCTGTAGAAGGCGGAACCTAATGAACCGCCACGGCCACGGCCACCACCGCGTGCCTCCGTGATCACAACAGTCGCACACAGTGTAAAAAGCGCTAGAAGGCAAATTAATTTCACTGACATTGTAAGCGTTCTAATGCAAATAATTGGAATGAAGGTGCGCTTGTGTCTAAAGCGTTAGTCTTTTTGATTATTTCGGCATGAAACAAAGCTTTCCGACTGCTGCAGTGTGCAACCGTAAGAGCCGACGTTTAGAATTTGACTACGGCCGGAACTTGCTTGAGAAGACTTGAAATTTAAATAGAGGCTGTTGAAAGTTGAGCTACGTTCGGCCACTTGAGCTAGCCACTAAATGTTTTGTTTGTTAATTTTGAAAAATGTTTCAAAATTAATGATCTGCTATTTGTATGGAGGCTACCTAACACTAGAAAGCATTGCGTGGCATAACAAATTTAATGAAGTCTGGTGAATTATTGGAAAGATAGACCCGTCTAAGAATATGTCGGTTTCAGTGCAAATTGGGCTTTAATTTTTCCAATTAAATTTATTTCCTGGTAATTTTTCATCGAGCGTTAAACTTCGATTAAGAGCTTGGGTTCAAAAGTGTTGAAAAAAATTATATTTATTGCAAATTTTATATCATTTTAGGTAGATTTTTGGTGACAATATTAAAGAGATTAGACAGAAATCTCGAAAAATTATTCGGTAGTTATATAAACTTTAAAACACTGGCTGTAGAGATATAAAAGAACTTCAGACTGCCCAGCAATTGAGTCTTTTGAGTTCGTCATTTCAGAATCAGTGTACCGTACTTATTAGGAAGGTCCAAAAATATTGTTTTAAGATAATTTTGTTGTGTAAAAAAAGTATTCTGAAATTGTTTAGAGCGGTTGTAGAGTATGAAGTAATTAACGCATACGACGTTTGTTCAAAAAGTAGCTTGATTTTTATATTTCTTGCGCCCTTCTAGGTAATCAACTCCAGATATTTTGTACTTCTGCCAGAATTTTTCCAAACCTCAAAGCATTTGAAAAAGTAAGTCATGCGCTCTGATTTTTAGCTTCTCAATCGTAGCGTAGCGTTGTTCTTTCATTGTCCTTTTCAGGTTTGGAAACAGGAAAAAAATATCCACAGAAAGATTAGTCTGCAGTATATGGTAGTTGCGGCACCATTAATGTTTTTAATTTTGTCTAATATTGGCGCTCGGGCAAGTATGTATGAGAAAGGGCGTTATCATGGTAAAAAAGTAAAATTTTGCTCCTCCACAAAACCTGCATTTTTGGCGGATTTCTTCTTGCAAATTTCGCTCAACTTGCAGCTAGAATTCCTTATTGAACGCACGACGTTTCCACAACCAAAGAAATTTATTAGCAAAACCTTCAAATTCGACCTAATTGGCACACATTTCTCGGTCTCAGAAAATGGGGCAGCGTTCATTGGGATGATTAAGGTTTTTTCAACATCATAACCATAAATCCATGATTTGTTACCAGCTATGGCTCTCTGGAGTTCGTCGCGAACTGTGTCCAATATCTTCTGAGCAATGTAAATGCGATACTGTTTTTGCTCAAAAGTGAGCAATATTGGTACAAACTTTGAGGCGATCAAATGGAACGAGGCAAGTATTCCGTTTGAGCTAATCTTAGCGGTAATTCGACGACTGCCCAGTACTATTTCCTTCACTTCGGCGTTTTTTTAAATGGCGGGTCCCAAGCCCAGCGACCATGGGGAGGAATGACTCGCCTTCTCACTTATGCCCGCGTTCAAGCGAACGTTTTTTGGCTACCCAGAAGATACCAAGTCTAAGGCCGGAAATCGTGGGCTGGTTGAGTGATATGTAAAATTGTTGGCCACTCCCAAGTTAATGGCACTCAGAAAACTTGCTTGATCATCTTCGGGTTCGGGTGACCAGCTCGCTCTTCATCGTTCTCATCTTCTAGTCCAAGCAAAATAGCTATCCAAAATCAACAGTCGCTTAAACTGTGTTAAATTCGCGAATGTTCCCTTAGATCTTCGTAAAAACATGGGTTGCTTTTTCTAACATCACATGACTCTCATATATAATATCTATAATTTATTATATCGTCACTTAAAATGCAAAATAACGTAAAATTACTTTTTATAAGTTAACAGGCGAGGGAAAAACGATATAGAAACCACTCATATTGAACAGAGTTTGAGTTTTGTTTATAAAGTGGTTATATATTGCTTATATATTGGTGATATAGTGGTTATATAGGGGTTATATATTGGTTATTTCTGACAGCGTAAATTCGAAATTGTATGCTATATATATAATTTGATTTAGTGAATCGTAATCAAGAAAAAATTCTATTTCGATTTTTTGGTGACGATTTCCATCCTAAATTCATCAAATATCCAGCAACATGTTATCGACCTTACTAGCATCAGAAAAATTCTCTGAAGATGTTAAATCGAGTGAACACTTTTAAAGAAAAAAATCAATCAAATTGTACACACCCTTATATAATTACTTGCGTGAGAGCAGAAGACGAAATTTCTTTAGTATGCGCAATTTCAGATTATGAGTTCCATCTGTGAAATTTCACAGATTTATATGAGAGTCAGGGCGTTGTGCAAATAAATGTTATATACATACATAGGCGTATGAAAAAATTACTGTATATAGCTTAATAGCTCAATTTAGTGCTCAAGCAGGCATTTGGAGGCATTGTAAGTAGTTATTGGTTTGAAAGATGTGGTGACCTGTGAGTAGCTACACACTGTTCATCAAATCCAGTTTATTTAGTGTCATTCTGAACCACCCAGCGTGCGAAAATGAATCATTAGATAATACGATAATTTAATTTGAGCTATAAAATAAATAACCAAATTGAATTTACGACTATCTGCTCATGTTTCCACATGTGTCTCGGTTTTTTTTCGTAATATTTCTGAAAGGCTCATTACAGAGTACCTTAGTCAATATACCAGATATAGGGTACAGCGCAAAGTTACAAGTTACATTATTATGTTGCGTATTCATTGCCTTTTGATCTCAGTATTATTCGCGAATATTATCAACGTCATTCCATGTTCATAGGACAATTGCGTATTAAATATATTTCGCAATAACTTATCAAGTGGCGCCGTTCAGGTTATGATTTATTTACAAATTTCAATCACACAGCGCTTTAAATAAACAGGTTTTCGAAAATATTGAAAAAAATATTGAAGGATGGTCAATAATAAATAATCAGAATATTTGATTAATTCGGACGGATGCGAAATAGACAGCTATTCTCTGAATTTCTCTTGTATAGTAGCTTATACTATTTTCAAGTTGTTGAGTTAATGCTTGCTTTGAAGAATAACGGTACTTAGTTTTAGCGTATATTTTTGGCGAATTTTCATTAGCACCGGCTAATAAATACAAATAACTTTTTGTGTAGAAAAATCGCTCTTAATATTTATTAGTTTCCAGATATGGTGACTAATAGCTTTGCGAATTTTTTTAGCTTTGCTGTATCTTTTCTGAGAGTTTAGAATGACTGGCGTGTGCTGATAACCAGTCACCACTGACCTTAAAAACACGGAGTTCTCTTGCTCAGATAAAGCGACAAGACGAATCAGTTCATTCCACAAAAGCTCGAAGTTAAAGGCCACCAGGGGGAGTTAGTGCTCCGACAACATTGAAATAAACGTAAGATTATGTTGGGTTAGGTTATACCGGCCTGCTGATACGTCATACATGGACTGGTTCTTATTAATGTCTGATATTTGGTTCAGTTTGATTTCAGCTGAAGTAAAACATTCTTCGTATAGAACGTTTAAGTTTTTCTGATTGCAAAGACTTTCGCCTGGAAGATACTGCAGCATTTACTCAAGAAGCTTTAAGGGTTTCTTAAGATCCAGGAGCGAGCAATAAATTCCGGGACCCACTTGCTGTTGGCGTGACTTGAAACCTTCTCTCCCAAATAAAATATGACGGTTAGAGTGGGTTGAATTACAGGGCGACAAAAAGGAACAATCGCGTCTGCGGGAAATATTCTATCGTTCATTATGAACCACTTTGCCTCAGAGGTTGTGAATCTAAAACCGGTTTCGAGTCAGCGAATTTTAGGGAAGTTTTTTTGGAGATCATAAAAAATGTTGATATTCTATTGATCGGAATCGGCAGATCGGACGACTACATGTATCACATAACCCCCATATAACCGATTTTTAGATCTTTGAAACTTTTCCTTAGAAATTGCTGACTCCAAGCCTGTTTTAGATCCATATTCTCTTAGGAAAGATATTCAGAAATTTTGCGAAATATTTTTCGCAATTTTATAAAAAAGAAATCGACCCGCTGTAATGGGGGTATGTGTTATATTGAGCTATATCCGAAGGTCTTAGTGGAAAATTCATCTATCGTCACCAGTCTTTGCTGCAAAGCTCTCAACAGCAATGTTTAAACCAATCTTGCAGCAAGATTGACTTGACTTGAATAAAAAGAGCGACCTCGGACTAACTATGGAATAGATAACTAAAAATCTGTTTGTAACCATTTAACATTCCTGCTTTTTTTTATAGGAATACAAGTCTTCAAATACTTAGTCTAATAGTCAACTTTACAGTTATGTGAGAGAAACATGTTTTGTGGACATTTAGCGATATGAGAAAGCTTTTGGGGGATAATAGATGCCACGGCAAGTTTACACCCTTTAAAAAGACCAAAATACGAAGAATATTCTCGTCTGCTCTCACACCTACAAATTTCATTAATACTTTCAACAAAGTCACATGTGAGATTATGTGGAAGATCGTGGTATGCACTGATGTATTCACTTAAACAATACCATAATGCAATGTAGATAATAATATTTTTACAGCATTGTGATGTGTCTTCTGAGGAGTAAAGTGGAGAAATTTCATTCTAATTTGAAGAAAAAAAAAAATTGAAGAGAAGGAAATCAAAGTGGAATACTCATAAAGAATGCTTAGCGCCCACCAACTGCTCACAGCATTGCTAGAATACGTTCGGTGTGAACACGAAAAAATGCTTAGCCATATTTTTGGCAACCCCCGAGCGCACTTACCATGCACGGAACGCCGCTTGACGACCTTGTTCGGCAATTTAATGCAATGCTTCACTTCCTGCACAAGTGTTGACAAATTGCTGTTGTCAGATTTATGGCCAATTATGAGCGTGCTATATTTCACAGCCACCTTAATGGCAACACAAATGAAATGAATGAGCAAAAGTGGAGCCTGTCGCGCGGATTCAAGGCGCTGCTGCAAGCCGCTGGTCGCCAATGACCAACGGCGCACATA